ATATTATAGTGCACCGAGGTAACACATATCATCAACCAATGAGTCCACCTATCTACAAAACCCAATTTCATAAGCATCTTAAAACTATAGTAATGGAGAGGAAAAATGTAGAAAGAAAATTGAGAGGATCTTGACTCATTTAAATTGAGTTAAGATCTTCTCCATTCCACCGTTCTCCATTTTGTGCATTACTAATGTTTTGGGAATATAAATGTAACAATGTGATATTTGATGGGTACATTTAATTTTTATACACTACATTACATATGCCGCTAAAACTATAGTAATGGAGAGGAAAAATGGAGAAAGAAAATGGAGAGGATCTTGACTCATTTAAATTGAGTTAAGATCTTCTCCATTTCCACCATTCTCCATTTTGTGCATTACTAAAGTTTTGGGAATATAAATGTAACAATGTGATATTTGATGGGTACATTTAATTTTTATACACTACATATGCCTTTAAAATTATAGTAATAAAAAGGAAAAATGGAGAAAGAAGATGGAGAAGATCTTGACTCATTTAAATTGAGTTAAGATCTTTGTCTTCCTGTAGCAGGAGAGGGTTCCCTCCTCATGCATTATCACCTTCATCTTTACATAGACGTCTGATTTCACCTATTCAAACACCTGAGACAGAAGAGGTACCCGAGTCACCCAAGGTGCCTCAAACACTAGAGGCACGTGAAGCGGCACCTGAGGCATCCTAAACCCAGGAGACAACAGAGGCATCCTCATTTGAAACTTTATTTCTTTGTTGGACTCATTCTTATAACAATATGTATGCAAGAACATGATCCGCTAAAATTCATCCACCATGCGCTGAAGATTTCTTGCCTAGTTCCACCTAATGAGCGGTGGTTTTAGTAAGTTTTACAACTATCAGGGATGCAAGACTTGTGCAAGACCGGTTATGTTACAATTAACCATGGTATACATAATGTGTTTGTAGAAATATGGCACACAGAGACTTCATCATTTCATCTACCACATGGTGAGATGTCTATTACACTAGACGATGTCGTGTGTCTGCTACATCTTTCGACTAGGGGGTCACTTTTAGATCATGGGAAGGTTACCAAAGATAAGGCAATAAAGTTGATGGTAAAATTTCTAGTAATTGACCCATAGGCTGTCATGGAAGAGTTAGATCACCCATGGGGCTCATGCTAGGTTTATCTTTTTAGGAAACATGTTTACATAAGATATATTGATATCCCAACAAGTTGTTGGTGATAACGAGCAGGTACATTAACATATATGGTATACTATGAGAGCATACCTATTTTATTTGGTTGGCACTTCCATTTTTATGGACAAGAGTACCACTTATGTGGATGTCATCTACCTGTAGTACTCCGAGGACTTTGAGTGGATCCATTAGTATAATTGGGGGTCGTTTGTTTCGTCTACTTGTACTCTAAGTTATTTGAAGGTTTTTTGTGGAAGACGAGGCACGTGACAAACAATATCACACTTTTGACGGTAACATTTCTTGGTCTTTTAGTGCTTGTGTATTTTTTTTCATCATTACATTATTGGAACACCGTTACTAATTAATGATTTGTGTGTTCCAACACTTTTTAGGATTGGAACCTATAGAAATTCCCATGTATCTCCAGTTGGTCATGTCTACAGACGTATATAGAGGATTTTCCACGTGCTTCTGCATTCTCTCCACTTAGAGGGAATCAGGCGACATAGTCGTTTAGAGTGTATATTGTCCGCTTGATATCATATGATATACACTTTCATTCTTACATCGATCACTGTGAGATGATTCCCTTTGATAACGTAGTCTTATACTCGGGATGGTTGTCTTACAGGTCACGTCTAACGTCCTCTTATCTACTTGAGTGCTTCATGCGTCAGTTCAACTACAAGTAGTACATTCCCAAAGATCCTTACGTGTCTGCTCCTCCCACTATGAAACATAGAGATATGGATGTTATGTTTGATGATTACAGTAATCATATGGTACCATATGAGGCACAAAGTACCATAATTGAGAATGATTGAAGCTACGCAATTGGTTACATCTGGTGGTTCTTGTTAGACGGAGACAACTTATCTAGAGGGGGTAAATAGATCCCCAATAAAATATAAAGTTTAAAAACTATTTTCAAAAATTAAGTAAAAACTATGGCAAGTGAAAGTTGTATCCTAGATCACAATTCGTCCAAATCGAACTGGTTATTGGAGGCTTGGATATGCCCACAATCAATATTCAATTGAATAATGATAATAAGGCGTTAATACAATAAAATTCTCAAGTAATTGTTTTACAACTACAAGGCCAACCAATATCCAATGAAACAAATGATAAAACTAAGTGAAATAATTTATCGAACACTTAGCGTGCAATTGATAAAACTAAGTGCAACAATTTATCAAACATTTGGTGTGTACTTAATTTTTTAGATTATCCTTTGATCTTTGTTAGTATGAAAAAATCTCCTACAATCTAAAGGATTGTTAGTTAATCAACAAAGCACTTTAAACAATCAAAGGATTTGTTTATACAAATTAATCGTACAATCAAAGAGTTTAACAAATTTTCTTAATAAAATGTAAATGTGATTTGTTTAGGAAGTTCACCAATCGTCCTTGCTATGGCTACGTCTCCCTCCAATTCTATTTGGAATTGAGATAAATTTAAAAATCAAGGTGTACACCTTGTCTAAATAGATTATTCGTCTTCCGCCTAAAATAACTTCAGCCAATCAAACATATTTTTTCTGCCTTAGTGCGTCCTGAAACCTTTTTCATAAATGAAATATGTTTTATCCATTCCGAAGGAAAGCACAAACAATGCATCATTTCTCTAATGTGCGAGTAGCAAGCAAAGATTTTCACTCAAATATGATCAAAGCATGATCCATTCCGACGCAAAGCACAAACAACATTCACTTCTCCCATACTCGAGTAGCAAGCAACATTTAATCCCCGATGCGATACAAACATATTTCACTAAAATCAATCAACAAACAAACTTTTGCTATCTAGAACTACGTAGCTTTGAGTTCCACATCCCACATGGGGATACATAGGAGCGAGATTCAAAGTCTCTTCAAACACCCTAATAAAAAAAATCTATTTTCCCACTTTCTTTCATTCGTAAGTATCTTGTAATAATTAGAAGAAATCAAAATATCTTACGCTAACATTCTTATTCGCAAAGCTAATTTAACGGTTCCCGTTGAGTACAATAAATATGTGAGGCGTTAATACCTTTCCTACGCATAATCGATTTTCGAATATGAATTTGGTTGCGATGACCATATTTTTGTTCTTTTAGGGTTTTGTCGATGTTTTCCATTTAAAAAATGAACTTCGGTGACGACTTCATTGAGTTTTTAGCGTCTATTCGCTCGGGTATTTTTCGCAATGTGACATAATGAGTATACTGAATGTCGCAGTAGACTATATCACCATGTTGATCGAAGCAAAGGCCTTGGTGAAAATCTCCAAAACCAACATTCAAAATTTATTGAAAAGAATTATTCGCGTAAGGTATGCAATTCCTTAATCTGGTATCACCGACAACTGGACTTAATTCACATATAGCAATATGAGGAAGCTTTTCAATGATCTAAAGATCAAAAATCACTTTGCATCGATATAACACGCCCTGACCAATGGACAAGATGAAGTTTCCAATTAAGTTTTATTGAGAAAACTAAAGAGAAGACTCAAAGGATCTAAAGGGAACCATGTTGAGGAATTCCCACAGTTCCTCTAAGCATATCTAGCTACACCTTTTTCAAATATCGACGAAACTCCATTTAAACTCACTTATAGATCCGAGGTTGTTATTCTGGTCGAAGTTATGAAACTTAGTTGAAGAATGACACATCTTTGCAAGAAGAAGATAATGCATAAGCCATTACATTAGGGAGGAATTAAATCTTCTAAATGGAATAAGATGTTTCGTCATCCTCATAAGCACCGTCATAAAGCAAGCCACATGCACAAAATTAATAAGAAGGTCGAGCCTCGAAGCTTCTAGCTTGGTGGCCTCGTGCTCCGTAGGTTCGAATCAGATATAAGAATGCTATGCAAATTCACTACTAATTACGATGGACCATACAGAGTAAGGGCCATTACAAGCAATAAAGCTTACACTCCCGACACCCTGTTTAGGAACTCATCCAAATGACTTGGAAAACCACCAAATTGAAATGTTTTTAGATAAATTGTTTCTTGTTTAAATAAATGATGAATTTATAGGACTTTACGAATGTAATACCATTAAGCAAGATAATAATGAAACACCTTCCATTGAATCATATGAGTGTTATTATTTCCAATGAAAAATAAAGCAAATATAAAACATTGTTATCACTAGATCCAACAACCATTGCTCATTTCGAAAGATAGATAACCATTTTAAGACAAGGCAAACAATGCCACACCAGACACATTACATCTTGACAGCTAGTCACTCTTGAGCACAAACAGTGAAACCCCAACTACGCCAACATCAAACTAAATTTTTACCTAGAGGCAAAGAAGAAAAACATACCCTTAAATGAACATGATCCCCATAAATGTTCGAGGATAAAAATAATTTATGCCAATAAATAAATAATGAAGTAAAATATTTTCAAAGATAAATAATAAAATAAAAGCACTCACAGATTACCGAAAATGAAATAAAATCATTCATAAAAGTAGTTATGCTATAAATTATAAATAAAGAGGGACATATATTCTCATGTAATTATGATCTTAGATGCCAAATGAAAATTTTGACATGGACCAATTTTGTATGTGAAATTGGGTAAAAGAAAATTGCACTAATATATATTCATAAAAGTCCAAAAGAGAAAAGAAGAAAGTACGTGGCAAGATAATCCAAGGGGCTTTTATCAACAATATTTGAAATCATGATCCTCCGATCCGATAGACACAATTAGCTGGAGCCTCCACGGCATTACTAATAATTCTACAAGCACGCATGTGAAGAAGAGTGAACACTCAAGAATAGAACATAAAAGATGATTAAATTAATCGGAAGAAAATCAAATTGGGTATCCTCCAATTTTCTGTCAAGAAGAGGATTGTGTTTGGGAGCCCTTCCTAATGGCTCCGCCATGGAGCACTTGATCACTCAGCTCCAATCTCACGTCCATAACGTCCTTGCCGGTGGTGGACCACAAGCTGTCAAAAGGAACAGTAGCAGAAACAAACTTCTTCCCAGAGAAAGAATCGATCGCATCCTTGATCCCGGTTCTTCGTTCCTTGAACTCTCACAGGTTCTTATTTTTTTCTTTTACTTATCATTCGTTTGGGTCTTGTGGAATGTTTATTACTTTAACATACCGTAATCTGAACTTTTGAGAGTGATGATGATGAAGCTTGCAGGACATGAGTTGTATGAAGAGCCTTTGCCATCTGGTGGGGTTGTGACTGGGATAGGTCCGGTTCATGGCAGACTTTGTATGTTTGTGGCGAATGATCCCACTGTTAAAGGAGGGACTTATTATCCTATTACTGTTAAGAAACATCTCAGGGCACAGGAGATTGCTGCTCAATGCAATTTGCCATGCGTGTATCTCGTTGACAGTGGCGGTGCTTTCCTTCCCAAGCAGGCTGATGTGTTTCCGGATAGGGAGAATTTTGGTAGAATATTCTATAATCAGGCTATAATGTCTGCTCAGGGGATTCCGCAAATTGCTTTGGTGTTAGGTTCTTGCACTGCTGGTGGTGCTTATATACCTGCTATGGCCGATGAAAGCGTGATGGTCAAGGGTAATGGCACTATTTTTTTAGCAGGGCCACCTCTTGTTAAGGTTAACTCCAGCCGCTCTTATGCTCCGATAATCCGATAACCTTTATGTGATACTATCTGGCTACTAATTTTTCTGTCTTGTTTTTTTTTTAATTTTAAACACTGTCTTTTCTGCGTGTCTATGACTTAAATTAACATTTTATAGGCTGCCACTGGCGAAGAAGTCTCTGCTGAGGATTTAGGAGGTGCTGCTGTCCACTGCAAGACATCGGGTGTTTCAGACTATTTTGCTCAAGGTATTTGCTGAGGAGAATTTCTCTTTCCTACATCTAAGTGGGTAGGAAATGTGATTAACTAATGAAATCAACTCGGTTTGTGTTTGTAACATTATGCATGTTTTGTTTTCTTGTAGATGAGCTTCATGCACTTGCACTTGGGAGGGACATTGTTAAGAATTTGCATATGGCTGGGAAAGATGTCTCGACAAATGGATTACAAAATATGAATTATGAATATAAAGAGCCACTATATGATGTCAATGAACTTCGATCTATTGCTCCCGTTGATCTTAAGCAGCAGTTTGATATCAGAGAAGTGATTTCTCGCATTGTTGACGGAAGTGAATTTGACGAATTCAAGAAACTGTATGGCACTGTGAGGGCTTATTCACTCCACTTTCTACCTGTTTAATCATTGTTTTTATGTGTATGGTTGCTATGGAACTTATATTTTTTTATTTATTTTTACTTGTATCATTTTCCATAGATGAGTTGTCGGACATTTATTGGCTGTCGATGCAGACTCTTGTAACAGGTTTTGCTAGGATTTACGGACAGCCTGTAGGAATTATCGGAAACAATGGGATTTTATTTAATGAATCTGCTCTGAAAGGGGCTCATTTCATTGAATTGTGTACTCAACGTAACATTCCCATGGTCTTTCTTCAAAACATCACTGGATTCATGGTACGAATTCAAGCTACTCTTCAGTTTCTCTGATTATGATACAATGTGTCATTATATTCTGACTTCTGAGTAGATTGGTTCTTTCTTTCCTCACAAAATCACTGGATTAGTTTATGAAGTGATTGACAAATACACTTAATGTCATCCATCATTTTTTGTCCTGTTTACAGTCATAGTTTTCTGGAAATGTTTAGAATGCTGAAGCAAAGTGTTTACTATTAGTTTCTGTCTCATTTTTTCATTTTTTCTTTTGTTAAACCTAAGCATTTTTTCTGTAACAATTTTGAGTTATGATATATTATTGGAAAACTACCCTGTTATTAGTTTGACAAAGAATGATACATGTCTTTATGGTAGGTGGGGTCAAGATCCGAGGCAAATGGCATAGCAAAGTCTGGTGCGAAAATGGTGATGGCTGTATCTTGCGCAAAGGTTAGTGGATTCCAGCACACTTCTTATAACATTCGTTACAGTTACTTGTATTGGCTCTTTTTTGCTGCACTGTGTTACTTTGGGGTGGTGGGGATGTTAAACCAATTCAAAGAGAAGACTAGAATATACAAGAGAAATGAAACAAACAGAATCATTTTTAAAAAGGACTAATGTAATGAACAATTTTGCTTCAACTAAATGTATGCTGCAGGTACCTAAAATCACTATAATTGTTGGTGGAAGCTTTGGTGCCGGAAACTATGCAATGTGTGGCCGTGCCTATAGTCCAAACTTCATGTTCCTTTGGCCTAATGCGAGAATATCAGTGATGGGTGGTGCTCAGGTAGTTTATCTCTCAAGTCATGATTTTTTACAAATTTGTTTGACTTGAAGACTCGATTGATCCTTAGCTCTTATTCATCAGGCTGCTGGTGTTCTGGCACAAGTAGAGAAAGGCAGTAAGAAAAAGCAAGGAATTCAGGTAAAAAACAACGTTATCGAGAAGATTAATTTACGTAGTGACAAATTCATGGTTTGTCTCATTTGTCTTTCTTTATTTGTGCTTGTAATACAGTGGAACAAGGACGAGGAAGAAAAGTTCAAAACAAAAGTAGTTGAGGCGTATGAGAGAGAAGGAAGTCCTTATTACTCAACGGCGAGGCTTTGGGATGATGGAATTGTTGATCCAGCTGATACAAGAAAAATAATTGGTCTATGTGTTTCAGCTTCCCTGAACCGTCCCACAGGAAATACCAAATATGGTGTATTTAGAATGTGAATAAGTGATGTTGAAACTTTGTTCTGCGATAAATGTTGTTAAAGTCTGATGTAGATTTGTTAAGAAATGGAAGATAGGAAGGAGAAGGGGGTTGAATGGATAAACAACAATATGTAAAAGGGGATGAGTGAAAAGTGAATTCCTTCTTCATCATGTTAACGTGGAACAACCATATTTATAATAAAAATGCTTCTTGCATTACACAATGTATCCACTCCAAAATCTAGCATGCAAATTGGTTCAGGTTCAATAATCACTCACATTTTGACCTTTGTTTCAGAATTAGATAGACCAATACTTAGGAAGAAATCTACTGGTAACATCTATCAAAAGTAATGAGGTCGTGAAAATGATGGGTCATGTTTGGATATCATATTATATTTTATATAATAATATGCTTCACATGGTTAAAACTTAGTAATTAAATGGTTTATATATTTGCATACCTGCTACATTTTCTATGGAAGCTACAATAACAGTATGGTAAGATATGTTTCAAGATTCAAAGAATTCTACATAACATACTGTCTAAACATAAAAGTGTTAGGAGTTTGAGAATGGAGGGAGTAACAACAGACTTATGCTCTAGAATTATACATCTTATCTCAATCTAAAATCTTAATATCTTAATGTTTCAGATACATGAGTATAAGTGAATCTAAAATCTTAATATCTTAATGTTTCAGGTACATGAGTATAAATGACGCGAGACTTAATCACTCACAAGTGTGAGTTTTGACCTTGCGTCCAATTTTTACTCCTCCACCAAGTCAAATTAGAAAAGATTTTTTATATTAGGCGAAAAACACATTTTACATTGGATTAGAGTCCGATGTAAAGTATATAGTAAATCAAAGACATTTTATATCGGGCCGCAGCCCGATATAAAAAATACATCTACCACATCAGTTGATCGTTACGTATAACGTGAAATAAAGGGTTAATTCTATTTTTTTTTATAAAAATAAATGCAATATTTAACATCGGTTTCCTTAATGGTCCGATGTAAAATATAGATTTTATCATCGGTTGTCTAACTGGTCCGATGTAAAATATAGGTTTTTACATCGGTTGCAAGCGCATCTGATGTAATATGTTTGCTATCTTTTTTAAAAAATTAGGTTGTTTTTTTAGCGGAATCGAGATGGATTCCTGGAAAAAAAATTGGTACCTAATTTTTCATATTTTTCCAACATCATACAGACCACATTTAAATGGTTATTTTTCATATTTTTTCAACATCACATAAATCATATTTAGGTCGTTATTTTCATATTTTTCTAACCAGTGAATGATAATTTCATTACACCAAATAGCTAGACGCACATATATATATTTTTCAAAATGAACAATTAATTTACAAAAGTACTAATCTAGGATACACACAAGTGTACAAAATTATAAGGAAGTTCACACACGGTGGACTACTACAACAACAAAACCAGTGAATACAAAAATATCCAACCATTTATAAGTTCTTTTCCACACTTGAAATACCAACATGCTATCCACAAGAAGATGGATTTTAGCTTCAGTAGGCAACACCAAAATCACATTTACTGACAATAAATAATAACACCAATTAACATCAGCAGACAACACCAAAGTCAAGAAACTCGAATCAATATATATATATATATATATATATATATATATATATATATATATATATATATATATATATATATATATATATATATATATATATATATATATATATATATATATATATATATATATATATATATATATATATATATATATATATATATATAGGTAGATAGGTAGATAGATAGATATAGACAATTCTATATAGCTCACCAGATAAAGCTTAATTTTTATATAACTCAAAGAAATATTTTTCCCAACGGAGTAGTAAATCATACAAATCATCTTGTGTTAATTCTGCTGGATCATCAAATATCTACTGTTAGACGGTGTGGCAAGCGATCGAGAGGGGGGTGAATAGATCACCTCCTAATTATTCAAGGATTTAAATTTTTTTATCAAAGTTTGTTGAAAGCAGCAGAAAATTAATGTCCTGAATCAACTTCCGTCTATTTTGAACCGACTACTAGAAAACCGGACATGTGAAAAACTTGCTGGATTTTATTAGATGAAATGAATGAATATACAACACAAATTACATAACAATTTTAATGCACTTATCATTAAAGTAGTGTTTCCAATGAATTAAAAACTTGTTAGCAATTTTTTCAAACGGTTAGCGTATGCTTGTTTGATAATTAATAATGGTGATTTTTAAAAAGTATTTGAACCACTATTTTATCATTAAACAGAAAACTCAGCAGGCCAATTTGAATCACAAAATTATGGAAAATTGTAAAGAGATAGAGAGAAAGAAAGAATAATACGCATGCAGTTTGGTAAGGAAGTTCCCCACTGTCGTCCTCGTGTGTGGGTATGTCTCCCTCTCAATTTCACAATTGAAACTGAGAACTCTTATAACAATTTGCTGAATATTTGAATAGAAGGTTACACTACACAGACAGAAAGAAATCCCTGTGATCTTCTTCTTCTTGTAAGAACCTCCACTTGATATGAGTTGTATCAAGATTTCCTGCAAGATCCATAATCGATCCTCCGCTTCCACGACCTGTTTGCAAAAATCCCTTTGATTTCCAAACCCCTCGCTACGGCTGAATCCGACTTGTGTGATCGTGACTAACAAACCCTCAAGAACACGTCCGTTCTTAAAGGACAAACCCCTTTGTTTTTCCTTGAAGCCCCCTTCACAATCTTCAACCCAGCTGAGATCCCTTGAATGCACAGTTGAGCGTTATCTCTTGATCACTTGATCCAATTCAACAAAGATGTTTGATTTTTGTTATTGTTGTTGAATGAAGATGATTGAGAAGATGATGAAGATGAAGTATCTTTCAGACTTCTTACTGCTCACAATTGATGCTCACAATTCTAATATGTGACATGAATGTTATTTGCTGAAAGAACATACTTATATATGTAACAGAAAACAGTTAGAGTCAGAAAAATGCATTATGAGTCGATACATGTTGGTCATGAGTCGACTCATGTTAGTTATGAAATACGGGATGAGTCGATACATGTTGTTATGAGTCGATGCAAACATATATCATAACATATTATAGAACCAACTATTTTACATGAGTCGATGCATAACACGTATGTGTCGATACATACTGATTGACCTTTTAATTTTTGAACATAAAATGTGTTATGAGTCGATGAATGATGTTATGTATCCATGCATACAAGTTCAAAAGTGTTTTCCAGGAACATCAAAATGTAATGTGTCGATGCATGAAGATTTGTATCGATGCATACAAGTTTAAGTTTGTACTACAGGGGCATCAATATGTTATGTGTCGATGCATGAGATTTTGTATCGATGCATAATAGTTAAAGATAGCATTCCAGGGGCATCATCATGTTATGAGTCGATGCATAGTGTTGTACCTCAAAATTTTCTCTCTCATTTATCAAGTATTTTCTCACAAGATCTCCTTTGGTTCAAGACTGCACTAGGGTTGATCAGCTTAAGACACCTCCTTAAGCATTGATGACTGAAATTAGGGTTTGAGATTGCACAAGGATAATTAAACTTTTAATGCCTCATATGAATTTAATGGATCATTATGGACCTTCAAAATTGCTCATGTCAAGTTTCAAGTCTTGGATCACATTTTTGCTCAGTCAATTGATCAGTTGACCTAAAAATCAATTGTATTGGAGAAAAAGTTAACTATGGTCAATTTATAGTCAAAGTTTATAATTTTTGATCCATATCAATATTGTGAACTACTATATGTCATTTGATCAATTTTGGACCATAATTACTCAAGAAATTTGATCAGATCATCAAAAGGGCAAAATGGTCAAAATTAGAGTTTTGACTGAGAAAGGGCAATTTCTGATTTTTGACCTAGAAAATAGTTATTTGGTTTGAGACATGATCTAAAGGTTTCAAATGCATCATTTTGACCTAATTTTATGACTCAAAACTTCCCTCAACATCAATTGATTGATAGTTGATTTTCAGTCAACTGATCAAAAGTCAATTGTACACTGAAAAGTCAAACTTTGACTTTTTGGTCAAAATGAAGTGTCAAAGATCATAATTCATCAAAACATGTCAAAATATTAAACTTGTTCATCAAGAAATCAAAAAGTCAAGATTTCATTTTGAAAAGTCAAAGTTTCCAAACTTAGAATTTTTTCTAAGTGTTGAAAACTTCATATTTTTTCACAATTTTGAGCCAACTTTTCACCATGATGCAAGATGATTCAAAAGAAACTTTCAAAATGAAAGTTATAGATCTCAATGAGATATAAAACATTTCTTTACACAACTCCTCCTAAAAATGCTTGGATCTCAAGTTATTAATCCATGAAATCATGGTCATGAAACTAAAACACTTAGTGAAATTTTAAGCATTTTGGTCAGGATTTTGACCTAACTTATGAGCCAAGTTTCACATAGTTCCATTTGGATTTTTCAAAAGTGATTCAAATAGGGGTTGTAAAGCACATTACAAGCTTTCTAAAAAGTCCAAGAAATCCTTGAGATCATTTGTGAGCAAGGAGAATTGAAGGTCAGAAGTTAGGGTTTTAAGTTGTTTTACAAGGCAGAATTTTGTGATGAACAAGAATTCAAATCCATGCTAGGTTGCACAATCTTTGCTTTTCAGGCCTCAAACTTGCTTGGCACTCTATAATTAAATGTTTGCACAGCTGTAAGAAGCTTCAACTCAAGCATTCAATGCATTGCCCATGCTTATTTCCATTTTAAGAAGAAAGTAACCATTCCATTCTAGTAAAGTTGCTTTAACCACAAAATCAGTTTTATCTTGAGCATTGAACTTATCCTTTCTGCACAAGCTTTCCCTGCACAATCAGAATAAGCATGTTTAAAGGTTACAGCCACCCTACAAGCTTGGTACTTCACATTGAAACAAGATGTTTCAAGCTTGCTTCAAAAACAAGCAAAATCCCATAAC